AGGAATTCGTGCGCATCATGTTGAGCAAAGTTCGCAAATTGAGATGCCTTCTCGGCGACAAGTTCCTGTGTAAGCAAAAGCAATATCCCGAGATTCGGTACGCTCAAGAATGTCAACAAACCTTTATCTTAGCCGGTTCGATAGCGCGATTCTGACAATTCCACATGTGCCTCATAAAATCAGCAAAAGCTTCAGCAAGCCGGCCCTGCAAAACGTCTCGTTTCCTGCCAACCCGCGTCGAAAGAAAACTGTAAACTTACTCTGAATCCAAGTGGGTTATTCGGATTGATGTCCATCTTGTAGTACTTTTCCAAAAAGTATGTTTTTAGCTCGATGTTATTTACTAGCATTTGCAGCGTAGCATTCATGAAGCACGTATTCCCAATGTTGCGCAGGCCAGTAAACCCAGACTGTACGCTGGCTACACCACGATCCTCGAATGGTTGCACCTAAAAGGGTGAGATAGAGCCAGCCACAGTTCAGCGGTTTCCATTCCTCTAAACCTATTTCACTAAGTCCTAAGCCACTTCAGAACAGCCTGTGAGATGCAAATTCACAGTGTCAAAGCCAAGAAATTCGGTCAACATAAATTTTGAATGTTTTCCACAGTTTCTGCATTCCAATATCTTAGCAAAGAGGAATTCAGAAGATGATCTAATCGAGCAAATCTAGCGCTCCTAGATCTGAGAGCAAATCACGGAGTCTCTTCTGTAAAAAACACAAGAAGTAGCGCAAATTTTACTTCCTGACCGAATTGAATAAAGAATATGCAGAGTTTGTAGGAATAATGAAAACGGCTTCGAAGCTGGCTTATATCCTCTGTTTCATTGGGAGTGGTGGGTGATGTGTGGGGCTCTTGGCTCTGTATCTCTCCCCTTTTTATCTGCTGCCTAAGGTTTCCAAGTTCTATTCGACTGCTTCAAAACTGCTTCGACCTATTTCATAGACAGCCACCCCAAACGAACGTGTATTCGACTGTATTCAGTCGTAGCTCAAAAAAGAGAACAAAATTTGGGC